TCTAGTGATGAGGAGAAATTTTAAGAATCATTGAGACCTATGAGACATTTTTACAGTGCATATTTGTCCAGCGAGAGCGCAAATTTAATCTTTAAAGTTCTCATAGATTGCTCATTTTTGAGGGATGATTTTAAGAATCGGGTTTTAAAATTTATTCAATAACGACGACGAAAAATGCAGTAAAAATTCGACAATAAACTAATTAGATGTTTAGGAACAGGTTGAGAAAATAGAAATTAAATATTATCATCGAAAATAAGTAATCTTATTTATCTATTGGTTTCTGTAAGGTCATTATTGTTCACAAATATATTCTGTAGATTTCCTAGAATTTTTTTTAAAAAGACAACATATGAAGATTTTGAAGAAATCTGCGTACACATTTATAAAAATAAGAAATTCAATATACTGATGAAAAAGAAATAATTGATTCTAACATTGATTTATTGAGAAGATTTCTAATGAGAAATATGTTCCTAAACATTCAACTAGATTACCGTAGATTTTTAACATTTTTTTGTCGTCGTTATTTTATAATTTAAAAAAGATAGATTCTCAAAACGTAACCACCCAAATGGATGATTTTGAACGTCAACTTTGTGCTTAAACTCAGTAATTTTACATCATTGAAACTTTATACATGTCTCAACTGAATCCTGAAAAATTTCTCCACAACTACATTTTCTGATCAACTACCATGCATTGCCGGTCACTCCCTTTAAGCCACGTTAAATAAAAATGATTTTATGTTATTGAGAAAACTTCAAAAAATTCATGTAAAATTAAGGGTGTTGAGATCTCGCATTAATGGTATCTCAGACAATACTGTTCAGTCCAATTCAATCAATCTAACCAGCTAGAGCCAGCTGTGCAGTACATATACAGATTATACAAAACAAAACGGGAAGGTACATACAGATTATACCAGGCAATACAGGACGGTACATACAGATTATACCAGGCAAAACAGGACGGTACATACAGATTATACCAGGCAAAACAGGACAGTACATACAGATTATACCTGGCAAAACAGGACAGTACATACAGATTATACCAGGCAAAACAGGACAGTACATACAAATTATACCAGGCAAAACAGGACAGTACATACAGATTATACCAGGCAAAACAGGACAGTACATACAGATTATACCAGGCAAAACAGGACAGTACATACAGATTATACCAGGCAAAACAGGACAGTATATACAAATTATACCAGGCAAAACAGGACAGTACATACAAATTATACCAGGCAAAACAGGACAGTACATACAAATTATACCAGGCAAAACAGGACAGTACATACAGATTATAACAGGCAAAACAGGACAGTACATACAGATTATACCAGGCAAAACAGGACAGTACATACAGATTATACCTGGCAAAACAGGACGGTACATACAGATTATACCAGGCAAAACAGGAAGGTATATACAGATTATACCAGGCAATACAGGACGGTACATACAGATTATACCAGGCAATACAGGACGGTACATACAAATTATACCAGGCAAAACAGGACAGTATATACAGATTATACCAGGCAAAACAGGACGGTACACCAAATGATCCAGACCCTTCTTGAAAAATTATAAATAAATGTTTTATTATTAAATCCATCATGAAATATCAGAAATTGTTTAATACCACTTTTACTTTTCTTTTTGTGGTGAATACATTCAATTACAATATCCTTGCTGGGAAATAGAATCATTTCGCAACTGGACATTCTCGAAAGAAACACAAATTGCATCTATTGATCTAATATGTTTTGTATTTTTCAATAAAAATATCATTTTATCTCGCGAAAATATATAATACCTGGGAGTTTTGCAAAACAGAAAATATTTGCAACCCTAAAGAAACTAAATTGTGAACACTCAATATCCGCCATAAATTCTTATTTTTTACTTGCTCTATCTTTGAAACCTGATGGTGAAAATCTCAGACAATGCTTTTTTATTAAACAGAATTCATATTTTGCCAAATCAAATGTCTAAGTCTACTCGTTGTAAAGATAACGGAATTAAAAACTAAAATTATTGTTCTCTTATTTTTGTCAGATTTTGTTAACTGAATCTTCATTCCCTATTTTTAACAGAACAAAAAGGGCCAATCATAACTAACTAATAGTTTTAGACTTTTGAGAAACGATAAAATCAATGGAAAAACGATCAAATCAATGGAAAAACCATAAAATCAATAGAAAAACGACAGATTTTGTTAATTTTCTCCAAGTAACTACGATTTTTAAATTAAAGAAATAACTGTCCATCCAAAAGCATATCTCCAGTATTGCGTATCTTACAAATTGAAATTGAATGTAATTTTTATTTTCTATATTGAACTAAGTAATTTTTTTCCTTTGAAAACATTTTGATTGATCCCTTTCGGTGCTTAAGCAAAGAGAAAGGATGGATTTATTCAAAATATAAAAAGAAATAATATATATATATATATATATACACGTATTAGATTTTCTTTATTTCTTTTGTTGCATAACCGTTAATATGGTTTTGTCAGTTCAATTAAAGATGTCCTAATTAGCAGAGATATATACGTATAATATATGAATAAAAAGTCAAAAGAAGAAGTAAGAAGGGGGACATCAAATATACAAAAAACTAAAAAAACTGTGAGAACGTTTTGTACCTTCACAAAAAGTCTTCCTTGTAAGAGTTATGTTTGTTCTTTTTCTATGTAATAAACAATTGTCATACATCAACATTTAATAAAATTTGAGGTTGTTTGTGTTGGGCCACAGAAATAAAAAGTTTGAATAGTTAACATTCTATTTCGATATGACATCTTATCATTGTTAAGCCTTTAAAGATAAAAAATATTAGCTTATCATTTTGTCTAATTCTACTTTTGCAAAATCCTATCTTGGTGGGGCCGGGAAGGAGAGGGAGGGGGGCAGTATTAGCGGGATAGTCAATAATCTGCTAGTTTAAATATTTCAGATAATGGAATTTACAAGTGTAGGGTGGCAGTATTAGCAGGATAGCCAATAATCTGCTAGTTTAAATATTTCAGATAATGGAATTTACAAGTGTAGGGTGGCAGTATTAGCAGGATAGTCAATAATCTGCTAGTTTAAATATTTCAGATAACGGAATTTACAAGTGTAGGGTGGCAGTATTAGCAGGATAGTCAATAATCTGCTAGTTTAAATATTTCAGATAACGGAATTTACAAGTGTAGGTTGGCAGTATTAGCAGGATAGCCAATAATCTGCTAGTTTAAATATTTCAGAATAATGATTTACAAGTGTAGGGTGGCAGGGTATGACTCCTCCTCCACCATAAAGCATAATCCTGAGCAGAGCTCAAATGGAAAAATGAGAGGATCATCCATAGATAAAGATAGATTGCGCATAAGACGACATTTTTCATCTTGAAAGATATAAATGTACAGAGATGTTTCAAAGAAATTCCTATTATATAGATTAACTAGGTCGGTTGTGAACATTGGCTGTTCTAATGTCATTGAGTACTTGTGGTGTACATGAGTTCTGTAGAGAGAAATTTAGGTTTATAGTTTAGTCCTTCTCATGTCCTTATTCAGTTCTCATATGATATATTGCTCAGAGAAATATTGTTGTTCAAATAGTCCCGGAGTTATTTTACACTCTATTCTATGAAATCCATTATAAAACCCCAAACCACCCCGCTTATCATTGAAGTACACCTTGACCCCTAGAAGTATAAGTTCGCGGACTGTACAATTCTTGGTGATTTTGCGTACATAAGCTTTCTATGTTTATTTATTTATCTATGGGATAATCTCTATTCTCGGTCACGAAGGACACTTTTTGCCTAGCAACATAGTCCGCAGAAATGAAGATATATTCAGAAAGTGTCTCGGACATTCTCTTAATGTGAAGAAAAATCCAATTGATAGACTTTTTTTTAGACATTCTTAAACTGTACAGAGCTGAAAACTTTTGAATGGGAAATCCTTAATCCCGATCAGTTAATTAATTTGGAGATTAATAACAAGAGGAGAACAAGCATTATTTAATCTCGAGATGAAGAAAAAGAGCGGATCAAGCATTAATCCCGATATGCAGAAATCAAAAGTTCACAGCTCAGCTAAACTAGAATGTTTTTTAAATGTTTGATCGTTCAAGCAATAAAATCTTTATTTTCGTTATTTTCGTATTTGTTTTCAATAATATTTTTGGTGTGATAATAGATTATTTTAATCTTGGCGATATTTATCTATCGTTCATTGAAAATACCATATTTATTTTTGACCTTTAAAGAAACCTTACCTATTTTTAATCATTGGTTACCACATTTTTTTGTCTTTAAAGATTATATATTTATTTTTGATCTTTGAAGAAATCATATTAGTTTTTGATCTTTGGATAAACCAGATTTATTTCGATTTGTGAAGAAACCATATTCTTCTTGATTTTGTAGAAGTCATATTAATTTTTGAGCTTTGAAAAGACATTATATATTTGTGACATTTGAAGAAACTTAAGAAATCATATCGATTTTTATTTTTGGATAAACCATAATTTTTGATCTTTGAAGAGACCAAGTAAAATTTTGATCTTTAGATAAACCCTACTTATTTATGATCTTTTGATAAATTTTATTTTTTTTATCTTTTAAGATCATGTTAATTTTTTGATTTTTAGGTAAACCCTAATTAATAATGATCTTTAGATGAACTATACTTATTTTTTATCTTTGAACAAACAATGTTTATTTTTATTTGATTATTTATTAAAATAATATTTAAGACAATTTCTCACGACTCTCTGAAAAAGAACTAATTTTTTCAAAGTGTATCAATCTCACTTTTTAAGGGATTTAAAAAAAATGTTCCAAATTCGGTACTAACTCGTCTTTACTAAGTACATATTCTAATCAGTTAATCAAGTATCTGTGACGTCATAGTAGGTATTTGTGTGTCCGTTGTTAGAAAGACGACATTTTCCGCCCATCGGAGCGCATCCAGAGTATTTAACCTTATTGTTTGAATCTCACCTCTGATGGTAGGTTGAGATCAAATCTTGATAATTTTTGCTTTAAGACCGGATCATTTTATGATCATGAAAATGCATGACACTAGTCTGAAATTATTGTATTACAGAGCAAGGTCAAAAAACCTAAAATATAAAAGTATTAGATCAATGACATTACAATATTTTTTAACTTTCCTTTAAATATCTCCTGTATAAAATTCCTGAATAAAATGTTTATAGTAGATTAAAATCAGAATTTGTTCTGGCATAGATTTAGGAGTTTTTACAATAATAAGAGTTACAAGAAGTTTAAAACATTTCTTACATTTTCCAGGTCGTCTTGATTTTTCCATCAGTTTAACTCCTCCTGGTAGCTACTCCTGTAGCTGTGGTTGTAGAACTACTCCTGTAGCTGTGGTTGTAGAACTACTCCTGTAGCTGTGGTTGTAGAACTACTCCTGTAGCTGTGGTTGTAAGAAATACTAACTCCTCCTGATAGCTACTCTTGTAGCTGTTGTAGAGAATACTCCTGTTAGCTACTCCTGTAGCTGTTGTAGAGGATACTCCTATTAGCTACTTCTGTAGCTAAGTTTGTAGAAAGTACTCCTGCTCCTGTTAGCTACTCCTGTAGCTTTGGTCTACTCCCGTAGTTGACAGTAGAGGACAGGGTAACCCTTAAAAATCACCAATGTTTTAATTTTGTTCATTAAACAGTTTATAAATAGATTTTCACCTTAGGCTATTAATCCTGACCCCCGCTTGCTCATAGTTTATACTTAATGGTGAGAAACCATCTGAAAATATTCAGATTTAAAGAAAGAGGGAATTTTTAAGAACTTCAATATTTTGCAGATAATGTAATCACAAAGTTTATCGCCAGGAAAGTTTCTAGCACTAGTCTCACTTCTCCGTTTAAGTCTCCTAGAATGGAGATTTTATTAATTGGGTTTCTTTTAGTTCTTAAATGTAACACTTATACACTCTATAACCTCGGTATGTATAGTTAGATAGACACTTAAATATTGATGGTAAACATATGATTGTATTGCTGTACATTCCAGGTCAGTCGTACTCGTTTGTTTATGTGAATTAAAGAATGATCAAATAGTGCACTTTTATACATGGTACATAGATTAAACTTAAGTTACTTCTGATGTCACAACTATGCAGGTCATATGGGGGGGGAGGCCATTTCTTCTTTCTGAATCAGAAAAAAAGACACTAAAAAAGCACATTTCACCTCTTTGCATTTTTTATTATTCCTAATTGTGTTAAAATCCATTAAATTTATTCTTTAAATTGTCCAATGTTTACAGCCAATATTCTCGAATTCTTTTTAAATAAAGGAAATTTTTTTTAAAATTTATCAATTTGATAAACCCTTTCTAGAAATACGACCACTCTGTATACAAGTGTACAGTGTTAGACACGTAAACATATCGTGATGTACACAGTCAACTACCTTATTAATTTTGCAATAGGGTGGTCCGTTGTGTACATCTGAGGGGATTATGAGATAAGCTTTATCTCTTTCTTTTCTTTCTCTATGATCAATATGGTGTCTATACACTACTGTTAGACATATTTATGTATATAATGAGAATATATATTTTTTTTAAACTTTAAGCCCTCAAAGAAAGGATTACGGGAAATTTAAGCTCCCTGGCCTAAATTCTGCTTAGATTTACAATTTTTCTGTTCATTTCCATATAAATTTATAAATAAATATAAGTAAGGGGGGGGGGGGGTTAAGAAATAAAACACCAGGCGACATAAATTTTGTTATATTCTGTAGAATTTCTGTAGGCTTTATTGTAGACTTTCTGTAGGTTCTCTGTTACTTTTCTGTAGGTTCTCTGTTACTTTTCTGTAGACTTTCTGTAGACTTTCTAAAGGTTTTTGTAGACTTTCTGAATGTTTTTTTAGACTTCCTGTAGACTCTCTGTTGCCTTTCTGTAGACTTTTTGTAGACTCTGTAGAGTTTCTTAAGACTTTTTGTAGGCTTTTTGTAGAAATTCTGTTGCCTTTCTGTAGACTTTCTGTAGAATCTTGTAAATTTAGTTTCTATACAGATGTCCCGTAACCGACCTTGGATCTTTGGAGTTGTTCCATGAATTAGAGAAACTATCATACCTGACTTCCGGTATACTCACCTTTGACTTTCCATTATATACTAGAGGAGAGGGAAAAGTAATGAGGGCGAAGGAGCCAAAGGGAAATGAAACAGGGGAGTAATGAAAGGAAGGAGCCAAAGAGAAATGAAACAGGGGAATAATGAAAGGAAGGAGCCAAAGGAAATGCAACAGGGGAGTAATGAAAGGAAGGAGCCAAAGGGAAATGAAACAGGGGAGTAATGAAAGCGAAGGAGCCAAAGGGAAATGAAACAAGGGAATAATGAAAGGAAGGAGCCAAAGGGAAAGGGAGGAGCCGGAAAGTACAGTGGAAGGAGATAAGGGGGGAAAAGAAGAAAAATCAAAGAAAATAGAATGAATGAGGAAAATTGGACAAAAAAAAATAATAATTAGAGCGGGGATGTTACATGTCTCAATAATTAAGTTTTCATTCATTATGCATTTTGGGATTTCTGGCCGCTCCTAACCATTATTATTATTCAAAAATAGAACTTTCTAGTATAAAATAGCATAACTGTTTTTTTAAATGTGGACAGGTATGGATCTTTATCCAATCTATATATATATATATATATATAAATATATATATATATATATATAGATTGGATTACAGGTACGAGCAAATCTTTAAAACTATCTTACCCTTTCACTACTTTTCTTTTCTTAGATGGCCTTAAGTTTAAAGAAACACGCAATAATCTAAAGGGCAAGAACAAAAAAACATAATTTCATGATAAAATAAAGAATATTGTTCAAATATTTAGATAATGTGAAATATTATACTGATATAAAAAAATATTCTCTGATTTTTTTTTCAAGTGGTGCAGTTGCTCGTACAGCTTTTTTAAATTTTACTTTTGATAATGTTTTATAATCAGTTAATGTTTTTTAAAGAATACTTCAAATCAAAATCATCCGTAAAAATCTATTAAATCTAATTGTATCTGTTTAGATTGAAATCAAAGAGAATAGAATATATATTAGAGATGAATTTAGAGAATCTCTCGGTATGAATTTTTTCAGTCACTTTCAGCCTGAAAGGGAGTTCAAAATGTACAAATCATGTAAATGTTCACAAATTATATGCAGTAGAGTACATTAATACAGTATGTTCCCTAAACTATCCATTTCAATTTCGAATTTTTTAAAGCTGTTAAAAAAAAACTTTACAATGAATTAGCTGAATAAAAACATCATTTGATTTATATTTATCAAGAAAAATCATCGTTTGTAAAATGATAGAGTCTATGTGAAATGATCATTGGTCAATTATGAAACCAGCCTATTTCATAATTTGGTTTTCTTTTAATATTAATTTTAGATTTTCTATAAAATGAAAACTTCGTTTATAAGTTTACATGAACTGCAAACATTACAAAATACAGAGTAGCTGCTATGTTACTTATCTTAATGACACTAAAATGTATTTTAATTATATAATAGAATTACAGTGTTAGTTCTATCTCTTTATCTAATTTATCTTTTGGAAAATTCAAATAAATAGGGTTTCATCACAAAACTTAAATAGAACTGGAAATTGCAATGGGACAAGTCAACTAAAAGTTTAGTAAAATTAAACTTATTTTCTTTTATTTTAAAATTCACGTTAAGTTAGTTGATTTGTTATATTTCTTCATCGTCTAAGGTCTTCTGAGAAAATTTAAAAATTTGTTTTTACGTTGAGAATAACAACTCCAAGTAGACTAAAGGAACATGTCGAATTTAGGCGAAATTGATGGTTTGACTTTGTAACTTCATAGATCCTTTTTTAAATATTTCTATACTTATTTCTTCAGTAAAAGGAGCTATAATTGCAAACATAAAATTTACTTCTATTTTACATGAAATTAATATTATTTTAAATTCAATATCGTTTTCTTCAGTGTTTACGCATATCATTCTTCAAAAAACAATCCAGGAATTTTACATTAATCTAAACTATAGAATTCACATTATTGATTAAATTAATAGTACCGTTGTAAATCGGGCATGCCCCTTAATTAGTTCAGGGGTCAGTTAACATTGTAGCGGGGACGATAGTTCTTTTCAGGGTCACTTAACATTGTAGCGGGGCCGACAGTTCCTTTCAGGGTCAATTAACATTGTAGCGGGACGGACAGTCCCTTTCAGGGTCACTTAACATTGTAGCGGGGCCGACTCTCCCTTTTAGGGTCATTTAACATTGTAGCCGGGCCGACAGTCCCTTTCAGGGTAACTTAACATTGTAGAGGGGCCGACAGTCCCTTTCAGAGTCACTTAACATTGTAGCGGGGCCGACAGTCCCTTTCAGGGTCACTTAACATTGTAGCGGGGCCGACAGTCCCTTTCAGGGTCACTTAACATTGTAGCCGGGCCGACAGTCCCTTTCAGGGTCACATAACATTGTTGCAGGGTCGACAGTCCCTTTCAATAAATAAAAAATTAACTAAATGGTTTCTTCACTGTCAGATTTAAAACTAATTCAATGATATTATAAAAGCCCAAACTGTACAAAAAAATGAATTAGAAGACAAAAGCAAAAAAGATTAAACATTTAATCTGAAAATCTCAAGTCGAGTAGGAAAGTGTGCAATTGTGGAAAAAAATACAAGTTTTATTGTTTGTTTAAAATAGATGGAGACAGTTGCAATGTGTGCAGACTGTCTCAATCTTGCAAATTCTTGATTATAAAAACATCGAATGTTCGCAAAGAATAATGACGGTAGTTTATTTTCTCCAGGGTTGACGTAGAAAAAGAAAAAGAAAAGCTGGATATTCATCTTATCATGTTTCTTATTCTTACCATATTGAGTTAAGTAGGGTATATTTTTCTTTCTAAACGATATTTCTGCCAGTATGAGATCAAGTAATGATACTATGATGGTCTAAAAACTATTATGTATCATCAAACAATCAGTTTTTGCGAAACAATGTTGTTTCATCTTAACCCTATTCCTGCTGGGGGGGGGGGGGCCAATTTGACCCCCCCTGTAGTTTTTTTTACATAACTCAAAAAGTATTGGTCTGAGGCTGTTGAAATTTTCTGACTTTTCTTACATACCCAAAGCCCTCCCTTTAGGCCTAAAACCGGGCTTTAATACTAACTGCCTGAGTCCTCAGGCACACTGCCTGAATGACTGCTTTTGCCTGTAACAAACTAAATCTTTGTTTTGACCCACTTTCACTTGTCAGATTTTGATAAAATTTAGCTTTTTGGAAAGCCTATGACATAAGGAAACGGATTGCACAAGTTTTGCGAAAAAAAAAATTGCAAATTTTTTGCAAACAACCTGTTAAAGGAAATTTGCACATTTTTAAGTTTTTCTTGATTAAAATTCAGGTTATTTAAAATTTTGC